TATTCTAGGAATATTCATGCACTTATTATAATTTTCTGAGATAATTCATCGGTACGCACTTATACCGTGGAGCAGAACCGGTATCTGCACTTTTCGTCAGAAAAGCGACTTTCAGTGTTATTAAGCACTTACTATAATTATTTAAGTCTTCTAATAATTATTCAAGGTCAATTATAGAATTATTTCTTTAATCTCCTATTTATTTAATTAATTTCCTAAATTAACGATGCGAGTTCTTATACCTTACCGTATCGAGTCAGTCCTCTGAGCCTAAGTCTCACCCTTCCAAGCTAGTATTAACTAATCCACCCTATTAGCAATTCCCTCCTTTATTTACTTCCATTTTGAAATTTGATTTTTTTATTTGATTTCATTTGTAATAACTTCTTTATTTACTTTTGTTTTGAAATTTGCATTTAGATTTATTTAAAACAGATCATTTTGTATTTGAATTCATTTGTAACAGCCTCCTTAATATGTTAGTTTGTATGTATCTTAGCATGATATATGGAGGCATTTGTAAGAAAAAATCAATTCAAAGAATTTTGTTTCAAAATTCTCTTGAAGGGTTACGTTAATGGTTTTATATATTATTTCTCTAACACATCTCCTCGTGTAAAAGCCCTATGAGCTTAAAGTATGAACAATGTATTGCTTAAAAGTACGCTTTGATACTATGATAAGCAATCATCTCACTTACAAGCGCAAGATGTTAAGTAAGGGTCGAATCAATATTTTTATATATTACTTCTCTAACTATCCCAATGACCTTTTCATATGCTTACACAAGTAATTGTTCAATCAATCACGAAAAAATACGACATAAATAAAAATAAAATATTATAATATAATTATGTAAATATAAACTAACATGATGAATGGGGACTACTTATTCCTTATATAAGAGAAGGGTTTGCTTTTTCTGCAATTACTGCAGATAAGTTATCTGCAGTAAGCCCAATACGACATCATTTTGGGACGGAAATCATGGTATTTTTATAATTTTAATTTGTTTCAGGGTTATTATAGTCTTTATAATTATAATTTTTTAATCTTTCAATCCCAAAACGACGTCGTTTTGAAAGTAAATGCACATAACTTATCTGCATTAACTGCGAAAATATTTTTCTAATAAGAGAATTACATGCTTTCCAAATAAATATTTAGATACATTACACCAATTAAGCATGTATTTATTATATAAAGCTTGTGCCTTACCCCGTTGAGTCAGTCCTCCGAGCCTAGGTCTCACCCTTCTAAGTTAGTATTAACTAGCCCGTCCCCGCTAGCACTTCCTTCATTTATTTATTTCCATTTTATATTTTGAATTTTGAATTTGAATTCATTCGTAAGAACTCATTAATTTACTTATGTTTTGAATTTTATATTTAAATTCATTTACAATAGTTCATTTATTGTATTTGAATTCAACTGTAACAACTTCCTTAAATATATTAGTTTCTATGTATCTTAGCCCGATATATGGATGCAATTGTAAAACAAAAATAATTCAAGGAATTCAATCAAGTACTTCTGTAATGTATCCCCTCATGCAAAAGTTCTATGGGCTTGAAACATGGACAATATATCACTTAAAAGCATACTCTGACACATTGATAAACACATCTCACTTGAAAGCACAAAATGTTAAGTAAGGGTCACACTAATGATTTTTATATATTACTTCTCTAACTATCCCAACGACCTTTTTAAACTTAAACAATTGATTCTCCAATCAATCACGAAAAAATCTAACATAAACAAAAATTATAATATTATAATATAATTATGAAAATATAAATTAACATGATTAATAATGATCATGATGAATTGGCAAAAGATGGCCATCTATTTCAAAAAATTCTTTAAAGGATTTGTTAATGATTTTATATATTATTTCTCTAATATACTCTCTCATGCAAAAGTCTTATGGGTTTGAAGCATGAGCAATATATTACTTAAAAGCACACTATGATACCATGATAAACAATCATCAAACTTAAAAACACAAAATGTTATGTAAATGTCACATTAATGATTTTATATATTACTTCTTTAACTATCCCAATGACCTTTTTATATGCTTACACAACTATAATCATAAAAAATTCTAACATAAAAAAATAAAATATTATAATATATTTATATAAATATAAACTAACACGATTAATCATAATCATGGTGAACGGGGATTACTTATTGCTTAAATAATACAATTACATGCTTTCAAAATAAATATTTAATACAACCAATTAAGGATGTATTTATTCTATCTAGCTTGTGCCTTACCCCTTTGAGTCAGCCTAGGTCTCACCCTTCAAAGGTCTTATTAACCAATGTTTTTAAAATTGGTCCGCTCATTGACCCAGTTGAGGTACCGGGTCAGTAGCTCAACCAGTGGATTATTGGTTGAATTGCATAACCCAATGATTATATATAAATCTATAATTTATATTAAAAAATTATAAAAATACTAAAATAGCTGAAAAATTATATAAATTCTAAATATTTTAATATAAAATAATAAATTACACATTATTGTCCAATAAAGTATCAAACAAACATATAATGCTTGTGATATTGGTGTTTTAGGTTCAATAAACGACATCTATAACTATAAATCAAATTAAAATTTTCTGCGTAGTGCATAACTGAGATAATATTAGTGTTGTATGTACATAACCTATATAAGTCAATAAGCAATAGATCACTCAAATATGTTAATTATGATTTATTTATTTTGGATTTTTTTTTAATAAATCAGGTAATTGGTTTTCACCTAAACCTACCAGGTCACCGATTTTCATCAATATTGGTTGGGTCGCACCGCATCTAATACATGGTCAATCCGTTACTTCATCTGGAGCAATTATATAACTAGTTCACCGATTCTTGGATTGACTCGGCCGTTCTGGTCCGTGTTTATTAACAATGATATTAACTGGCACTTTCCTCATTTATTTACTTCTATTTTGAATTTGAATTCATTTGTAACAGCTCTTTTATTTAATTTGTTTTGGATTTTATATTTTAATTAATTTATAATAGCTTATTTATTGTATTTGAAATCTTTTATAACATCTTCTTTAATTATGTTAGTTTCTATGTATAATAGCCAGACATATCGAGACATTTGTTGGAGAAAATCAATTCAAGGAATTCATTCAAAGAATTCTTTTTCAAAAATTGCTTTAAAAGTTGTGTTAATGATTTTATATATTAATTCTCTAATACACTTCATCATGCAAAAGTCCAATAAGTTTGAAGTATGGACAATATAATACTTAAATGCACCCTCTGATATCATGATAAACAATTATGACTTCAAAATAGAAAATATTAAGTAAGAGTCACATTAATAATTTTATATATTAATTCTCTAATTATCCCAATAATCTTTTTATATGCTCACATATCTACAGTCATGAAAAAATCTAATGTAAATAAAATAAAATAAAATATTATAATATAGTTATATAAATATAAACTAACATGATTAATAATAATCTGAACGGGGATTACTTATTCCTTAAATAAGAGAATTACATGTTTTCCAAATAAATATTTAGATACATTTCACCAATTAAGCATGTATTTATTCTATCAAGCATATGCCTTACCCTGTTTGCCTAGTTTTCACCCGTTGAAGGTAGTATTAACTGGCACATTCCTATTAGCACTTCCCTCATTTATTTACTTCTATTTTTAATTTGAATTCACTTGTAACAGCTCTTTAATTTAATTTTGTTTTGAATTTTACATTTAAATTCATTCATAACCGTTTAGCCAGACATGTAACATGTCTTGAATTCACTTGTTACATGCTCTGAATTATTTTGTAACAGCTTATTTAATTATGTTAGTTTCTATGTATATTTGCCAGACATATTGAGGTAATTGTGAAAGAAAATCAATTCAAGGAATTCAATCAAATAATTTTATTTCAAAAATTTCCTTAGGGGCTTTTTTACTGATTTTATATATTACTTCTCTAACACATATTTTTATACAAAAATCATATGATGATGTGTAAATAAATTTTGAGTCACGTTACTTAACATCTTGTGCTTTTAAGTGAGATGGGTATGAGAATGTGCTAAAACAACTAATTCTCTAATGTGCTTTTTTACTGAATTGAAGTAATACTATATAAATCATACCCATCTCACTTAAAAGCACAAAATGTTAAGTAAGTTCATGTTAATAGTTTTATTTAACTATCCAATTACCTTTTCATATGCTTACAAACTAATTCTCCAATAAAAAAACCTGACATAAATAAAACTAACGTAGTTAATAAGTTACATACTGAATGGGGATTACTTATTCCTTAAATAAAAGAATTATATGCTTTCTACATAAATATTTAGATACATTATCCCAATTAATCACTTATTCTATGTACCAAAATCTAGTAATTATGTTACTAACTTTAGTATTAAATTAGTTTCTCTTGTTAGTGAGTTTCCTCAATTGACCATCATCTTCAAGCAGCTTTGGATTAATTGTACAACAACCTGCTTAATATAGGACAGAACTGTCATTAATCAATAAGAACACAAAAAGAAAAAAAAAACGTGTTCTGTTGAAAAATAGTAATGATGTTACTTGTTGACATCTTCACCGTCCACTTATCCCCTCACATATTAGGATTCATGCATCTCTAATATAAAAAACCACGATGATTAATTGTACACAATAACCATTCTTTATTTTTTTTCCTTTCAGTCAAAAATTTGAAAAAAAAAAAAAGTATTGAAAAAAACTTCAAAGTGTTGACAAATCAACGCGGCCATTTTCGTCTCATCGACGGAGAAACAGCTACGACTCCGTACGAAAGTTCGGAGCAACGTTGCATTGCACGCATAAAAGTTAGTGCACAGGCGAGTGCACGATATCACAACCAATCATAACCCTCCACGACATCGAACGTAGCATTTACCTTCTTCCACCAGGAGGTGCCACACTGTCCCGCGGGAGAGACTGACAAAATAAAATAAAATAAAAAATAAAACAAAGCCGTTTCATTTTATTTTATTTATTTATTTATTTTTATTTTCCTTCTTCGTCTCCACAGTTCACACCATTCTCGTCTTCCTCTATAGAAAGAGCTCCGGAAAAAAAAAACATTTCTTCCATATTCCCGATTGAGTCCTCGAACCTTCTCGAATTTCCCAATCCAACCGCGACGACATGGCTCCTGCCACCTCATCGCCGGCGGCTCAGAGGCACATCGGCTTCAGCCGGCGCACGCAGGCACCGCGGCGACCGGCTGACTCTCCGCCGGCAAAGAAGTATAGGTCGTTGAAGGAGATAATGGCGAGGGCGAGCTATGCGGTGGTGGAACGCGAGGATTACAGCGACCTGACCTGCGAGCAATGCGGCTCCGGCGAGCGGCCGGAGGAGCTGCTTCTGTGCGACAAATGCGACAAAGGCTTCCACATGAAATGCGTGAGGCCAATCGCGGTCAGGGTCCCGATTGGATCATGGCTTTGCCCTAAGTGTTCGGGAGAGAAGAGAGTGAGAAGTGAGGGATTCTCTTCCTTTCCAAAAAAACGTTTTTCTCTCTTTCGTTTTTTTTTTAAATTCTGTTGAGCTGTTTTCTCAAGCGTGATGATGAATGTGGCATTGTGTCTCTGATTGTTAATGTGTTTTAGGTTTATCTCAGAAGAAGATTATTGATTTCTTCGGGATTCAGAAATGTGCTATTCGTGCTAAAGACAAACGTTCTTCTTCTCAGGGTAATGTCCTGAAATTTAGTCATTTTGCTATCAACCATTTTTTATTATTCTTCTTCTTTTTTTATTTGAATCCATTTGGTAATCATTTTGAAATTACACACTGAGCCTGGATATATGTGCTGCCCTTATAAATCGAGCTTCAATCAATGTTTGGCTTTGTGAGAGTAATGTGGGTTGAATTTGGTTTTAGGCTTCATATATCATTGCTGCTCTAAGTCATATGAGAAAAACGATTGTACATCAGAGTGTGGTTCATGATTTTTATATATTATATAGCTTGTGTCTTCCTAGTTTATTTGAGACATGAATAAGTTCATGCACTGATCTTTTGGAATTTGTGCTAACCATTGGTGGGTGAAGCATTCATGTTTGGGTGAGGGCTTAATATTCTTGAGCCTTATGAAATGCAGTTTCACTGTTATGAAGTGTTTCTTGCCAAATTATGCAGGACATGAGGCTACAGATGTTTCCATCACCGCTCCACAAATTTTAAGCTTGACTTGCTATAGGTTATCTTAGTTATTGATACTACCAAATGGGCAATTAAGCTGGATTTTCCGTGCCTATAAATGTATGATAAGTAAGCTAATTAAAGCTACCCACAATTACCGCATTGAATGAACAGATAGCTACTAAAGTTTTTAATTTTATTCCTTATATTTGTGCCTCTTTTTTCATTATAGTGACACTAAGATCAAATCGAACAAACATGGTATTAGATAAAAAGATTCATCCTTTAATTTCAGTTGCTTGACAATTTAAAATTATGTGAGGTAGCTGCAAGTTCACATTTTATGAGCTTGTAGATTTTGGTGTAATTGGTCTCATGATCTGTCTCCATGAAACCTAATCCATTTTTTGAAGGTAAAGGAGGCCAATCAAATGCCTAACTGCTTATTAGTTGTTATAGTGCTCTTTTTTATGGGGTTCTTAAATGGTAAAGAAGATCACCTTCTTCATCTGAGATTGTGTTTGCAAATTCTATGGGGATACTGGCTAAGTGAATATTTACATCCACTTTTTTAGCATATTTATGCCTTCATGATTGTAGAGAAATGTCCTGGACCCTTTGTATGAAAATGAACTGATGCCCCATTTAATTTATAAATTATGTAAACCTCCTAACATTTATATAAAGTTACAGCTAACACGAAACAAAATTAGCAGCAGTTAGGTTAAATTTCAGTGTATTAAATTGCTGTTTTCTTAGTTACTTTTATGCCATAATATGAATTTATTGCAACATATCATGCACGCACGCACGCGCACACGCACCACGGTTAAGTTGACATTTCCAATGAACAAGAAAAAATAGAATGGATGCTAGAGTCATGATTCATTTGAAGAATTCAAAAATAGAAAAGGAAATTTTGACATCAATACAGATAGATTGATTCAAAAGTGGTCTATGATTTGGCAGCAAAAGGAGCTACTATGGCAATTTGACCATTAGATATTTGTGTATTTTCATGGAAACTAGAAATATTTTGGCTTACTTTTTCAGAAGTTTTATAACCCTACATTTGTACGAGCTCTTCATTATGACTAAGGAAGGAAACTTAATAAATGATGCTTGGTAATATCCTTTTTGATACTTGTTCCTTCAGGTTTTGGTTGAAATTTTCTTGTATGCTTTTGTTTTCCTAGGTTGGCAAACACTTGTCCTTTCATTTTTGTTTCTACTTTCTAGTGCATACATGATGTACCATGATCTTAAGATAATTTTTCATTGGGAAAGGAGGAAAAAAGAGTTACTTTTAGGTACTTTTTTTTCTATACTCTAATGGTCATGTTCTAATTATTCAGGTAATTTGTCAAGGGTACTCTTAAGTATCCTTTTGCCTCAACTTTGTGAAATGTCTACAATTCTAAATATACGATTAACTGATTGGAAGATTTTTTTTCTTGATTTATCCATTCTGGACTTCTAGATGCTAAGAAGCGTCGTAGACGTTCAGGATCCCTGGTATTACAAAAGAAAAAGAGGAAATTATTACCATTTATTCCTTCAGAAGATCCTGCCCAGAGACTGAAACAGATGGGTTCCCTTGCTTCTGCTTTGACAGCATTGCATATGGAATTCAGTGATCAACTCACATACTGGCCTGGAATGGCTCCTAGATCTGCTAATCAAGCCAAATTAGAAAACGGTGGCATGCAGGTCTCAACTAATTAATTTTCTTGTAGATTTTTTATCCCTAGAAATGGACCTGTAACAAACTGCTTATTATCGTGCACATCTCCTCTGTTCTAGTTTGATAAAATATTTTCTTTTTGGTTTTCTCTTAGGTTCTTTCCAAGGAAGATATAGAGACCTTGGAACACTGCATAGCTATGTCTACAAGAGGCGAATGCCCTCCCTTTTTGATTGTTTTTGATTCATGTGAAGGGTACCCATCTTGAACTCATCACCATGAAGTAGGAAATTAATTTTTAGTACCTTACTATTTAGCAGACGTTTCTTGACATTGTGATGTAGCTTTACTGTGGAGGCTGATGGCCCGATCAAGGATATGACATTTATTGCTGAATACACTGGTGATGTGGATTACATTAAGAACCGAGAGTATGATGATTGTGACAGTATGATGACCCTTCTTCTTGCAGCAAATCCTTCTGACAGTCTTGTCATCTGTGCTGATAAACGTGGAAACATTGCCCGCTTTATCAATGGCATCAACAATCATACTTTGTAAGGCTGTCTCCCTTATCTCACGCCAAATTTTGAATAAAAAATAAGGGGTGGAGAACTAAAAGGATCATTTCACTAAGATTCCTCCTTTGATGTGGACATTCCTTTTTCTTTTATTTTTTTCTTTTGGGTACACAATTCACGTGGACATACTTATTATCATTTATTGGAGTCCATTTTAAAAGTTGTTTGGCTTTGGCATGCACTTTAAAGAACTCAACTCTGTAGGATTCTAAAATGCTAATACTTTTTTATATGTGCAGTGATTTTGCTAATTCTTAAATTTCTCATATTTAAAACATATCTGATTTTTATGCAGGGAAGGTAGGAAGAAGCAGAACTGTAAATGTGTGAGATACAATGTTAACGGTGAATGCAGGGTCTTTTTGGTTGCTACTCGAGATATTTCTAAGGGCGAGAGGCTTTATTATGATTATAATGGTTATGAGCATGAATATCCAACTCATCATTTTGTCTGAGTGAAAGTCATAAATACCTCCTAACAATCCTATAGAATTGGATGCAATTATAGGTCCTCGTGAAAGGATTTTCATGATTTTCTTGAAAAATTTAACTCATTGTTCTTGCAGATTCAACAAATTTTTTCCTAAATTGTTGCCATGGGAAATTCATTGTAATTTTTGTTGTAGAGCTGGCCCAATTATGTGGCTTAGAGATGAATAGAGTAACCTAGGAAAACTTTCTTCATTTAGGTTATGTCTCAAAATATGAGCTGATATACATTTTTTTTTCACTACAGTTTCAAGGAATTTATAAGATTCTCAGATTTTACTTCAAAGGTGTCGCACTGGATATTTGTTTTCTTTCCTTATCATTTATTATTTCCTTTGAATACTGATTTTGAATGTAATATTGGTGAATCCTATTTTGTATGCCAACCTAAGGCCTTGAGAGATGAGGGATATGAATATACTCGAAGATGCATTTTTAGTTGTCTGTCTCTTTTATTTTGAAAAATGTATTTTCTTTACATTCAAAAGGAATCCTGGACACTTGTTTGTAAATATTGTTTATGCATGGCCTTTTTAGGATGGAATGAGTGCAGTCTTGCAGATATCTCAATTTTCGAATGAAGTTCATATTGGAAATTCAGTAATTGATGTACTGAGGATAAATTCTTTGTTGTTCTATTGCTCAGACTTTATGATGCATTTAGATACATTTAGTAAATTATAATTTTTTTTATTTGTATTACCTCTATACTATGTCCTCCATTAATTGTGGATGCTACATTTACTTGTAGTTTAGCATGTGTGTTTTGTACTTGACTTTTCGGTTATACATGAGTTAGAGAGAATAGGAATAATTCTTTTAGTTTATGATGATCTCAATTTTGAATTTAGGATTTTGATGTTGATTAGGGCTTTTAATTTGGGGATTTAAAATTATCCGTTAAGGGCTTTATTCTTTTCTTTTCTTTTTTTGCATTGGATATTTGTTTATTCCTTGTTTGATCATTACTTTATTGTTTATGGTTTATGGTTTATTTCATTTAGAGAGATATAAATGCCCCTCCTGCAAAAGCTTGAAGACCTTGTGCTTGTTTTCAAAATTAGAATTTGTGTTCTAGTCTGTTTTTGGTTCCCTTTGTTTTACGTCTCTATCTCTATCAGTAGATTCATAGTTTGCTATATTTGGTGGATTTCCTATTAGGCTGTCTAATTCATGATTGTGCGGACTAGTTTTCTTCCGAGAATGAATATTGCATCATCTTTCTATTGTTTTTGAGATTGTTAGGTCAATTTCCTTAGATATAGGAACAACCTGGTACCTTGGGCAAACTATTTAGGTTGTCCACGACTTCGCCAAAAAAGGCTTCGGGATTGCATGTTTCTGGTTTCAACTATCATCAATGTACATCTTTCTGTACTCTATATCACACAGAAAGTCGAACAACTTTTACAAACATCTCCACAGTATAAAATAAAATCAACTTTCTAACCAATTGTTTCAAATGCAACCGAAAGACCGAAAAGCCTTAATGTGGCAAACCGTATATGGATACTGTATCAAAAAACAAAATATAAAATTCCAGTACTGGCTCTAAGGTAAGGTTTTATTTCTGTCAGTCATGTGATAAAACAAACAGGTTGAGTAAAACAATGCTTCATATTCCGGATGGCCCAACTACTAAGCGGCCCATGGCTCAGGCCCAACTCCAGGCTCTAACCCACATCAGCCCTAAGGGCTGACGTAGACCCTCTCATTCCCCAATACTGCGACGCGTCTAAAGGGAAACACCAAAATGTCCCATCTTGAGACCTTAACCCCCAAAGACGACTGTCACAGGCACCCTAAAGGGAAACTGCCCCTTTGCCCGACGCTGACATCGCCAGGCGCAGCGCTGCTACAACAGCAGCGCCTGCCACACCAAACACTGCCACCATGGGAGTAAATCCCAAGGAGGGTTGACTCCCTCCATGCCAACCCACACCGTTTTCCCTATAAATAGCCCCCTTTGGGCACACCATGAAGGTATCTTATGTATCGTTATTCTGCCCATTTACTTTGAGTCATATTATCGCTTACTTATCCATTGTTAATTGCTTATACCGGGCAAAGTACCTCTTAGCTTGGTCTGTACCTGTGCTAAGGGTATTATCCATACAGTGACTCATCCCAGAAGGGAACATAATGGGCTTATAGATCCTTACGGTACATTGGCGCCGTCTGTGGGAAACTATAAACTTCTATTCTCATTCTCCTACCAAAGATCCTCAAAACGCACTTCAGACCCAGATAACTAGACATGGTTGTGACGACCAGAAGAGCGGAACAAGCCAAGGCCGTTACCCCTGACGGTCACATGCAAACAGTACATTCCAACTCCCCGCCATCCATGCATTCAGCCCCAGCTGGGCGAGCCGCTGGCGAGGCTCTCCCCCTGGTACTACAATTTGTTGGCCAGCAGCCGCCAATAGTCGGCGACAGAATAGCACAGTTGAACCATCGCGCACCTATGCGTGAAATGCAAGGAGAAAATTTAGTCCCAAACCAACCCCCACTGCCGGGAGTTCATTTCGGAATCCCATTCCCTACTACTGCTCCACTAGCCATCCCACTCGCCCATCATCCACAACCAGCTCGAAGCCAGCCAGTCGCAATGTACAATGATCATCGAGTCCCTATGGTCGCCCCATACCCCCCAGGATCTTACACTCATAACGTTGCTGCTCCCATCCCTCAACCTTACCTTGCTGGTTTTCCTTTCCACGGTTACGCTATGCAACCTCATAACGTGGCCATACCACAACCCCAAGGGTCTTATCAAAATCCTGGTCAACCACCATATGGCTCCCACCAGGCCTTGAACCATGCCCCAGCTCTCTCTTATTAGGTTGAGGCCCCACATATACCCTACCCACAACCGGACCAGCATGCACGCAACCCTAATGTAAGGATAACACCTACTCATACGTCAGGACGCAACAAACCCTTGACCGATAGCTTGCGGTTAACTCTCATACCCCTCGGTTTCAAAGGCCCATCCAACATCACCACGTATATTGGTGACACCGATCCTTTTGTGTGGATCCAAAAGTTTGAAGCGACCATGACTTTTCACGGCGAGACGGATCTCCTCATGTGCAGGACTTTCTCAACGCTTCTTGGAGGGAGAGCGCTGACATGGTACACCACTCTACCCACTGGTAGCATTGCGTCTTGGGACGGTTTGGCAAACAAGTTCCAGTCCCATTTTGCAACCAGTCGCCCCGTGCCTAAGTCTGTTCATTCCCTGGAAAAGATTCTCCAACAATCTGGTGAGTCCCTCAGATCTTTTTTAGACCGCTTTGATAAAGAGGCCTTGCAGGTGCAGGGCTTAGACCCAAAGGTGCAGGTACATATACTCCTTTCAGGCTTGCGACAGGGAGCGTTCGCTTACGAACTCGCCCGACACGAAATTACTGACTTAGAAGAGGTCAGGAAAAAAGCCCAGGAGTTCATGAGAATAGAAGAGTATAAAGGGAGTCGAGTTGATGACGCCCATAACCAAGACAAGACGGTAAGCAAAAGTAAGAACTAAGTTGAAGAAAGCAGGAAGGGTCACAAACCATCTAAGTATGCCAGTCGCCCTTCGGAACGTGGCTCATCGGGACGCTAGTCACACAGTGTCCTACAAACGGAGTACAAAGAAGAGCCAATAGTAACCAACGGCCCCAGCAGCCGATCAGAGAAGCCGTCGTGTACTGTAAGTTCCACCGTAGCAACGGCCATAGTACCGAGGAGTGCAGGCACCTCAAAGATGAGATTGATGAGCTCATCAAAGACAGTGCTCAAAGGCATGGTGGTGACGCGGCACGCCCAGCCGGCACAGAAAGGCGACACCGCGAGCGTAGCAGGTCGCCAGAACGAAGAAGAAACAACCAACCTAGTTATCAACCTCGCCGCGAACGAGATCGCAGAGAAGGCTCCCCACGAGACCGCAGAGTGCCGGTTAGCCAAAGCAATGGAGGAAGGAGGGAATGAGATGACGAAGATTCAGTAGTCATCAGGCACAGGGTGATAAACATGATATCAGGAGGGCTGAGTGGAGGTGGAGAATCTGTCAACACCAGGAAGAGGCACCTGAAACAATGTTTGGCGGTTGCAGGTAAAGTCATCAGCAAAGTACGAGTGGATTCAGGTCATGCCAAGCCCAAAATCGTGTGGGATTGCAACGATCTCGGCGACGTCCTTCCTGGACATGATGACCCTCTTGTCATTCAAGCAATAGTCAACAATTTTAGGGTCAATCGCGTGTTTGTTGACCATGGCAGCTCTGCTGATATCTTATTTTTGCCATGTTTCAAGGTGTTAGGATTTACTGCTAATGACTTAACCCCAGTTGCAGGTGAACTTTCAGGTTTCAATGCAACTACCACCAAGCCTCTTGGAATGATAAACATGCGTTTGTCTTTGGGAACGCCTCCCACATCAAGGTCAGCCGACATCCAGTTCCTGGTGCTTGACACCCAATCATCTTACAACGTTATCTTCGGCAGAAGGATGCTCGCTGCGTTTGAAGCAAGCATATCGCACCCACACTTGGGGATGAAGTTCGTGGCGAGGGACAACAAGGTCGCGACGGTAAAAGGCGACCATACGGTAGCCAGGAGTTGCTACAATGTATCTTTGAGACCAGCACCTAAGGTCACCTTCAAAGACCAACCAACGCCCCAAGTGGTGACATCGCAGGTAATGGAAGAAAATACTAGCAGAAATAACAAAGAGCTTGACCAGTGTTTTCTTGTAGAATTCGACGCCAGGGATGACCCTCGAGCAGAACATTCCAGGCCCACGCCAGACGGAGAGTTAGAGCATGTCGTTTTCGGCGACGCCGAACACCAGACGACTACTATCGGGGCGATCACTGATCCAGAAATTAAGAGTGAGCTGATCAAACTGCTACGTAGCAACAGAGACCTCTTCGCCTAGAAACCAGCTGATATGTCAGGTATAGATCCTGCAGTGTGCTGCCACCGACTGTCCGTAGACCCCAAAGCAAAGCCCGTGGCGCAGAAGAAGAGGAAGTTTGGCCCGGATCGCCAGAGGGTAATCGACCAGGAAGTGGAAACGCTCCATGACGCTGGCTTCATAAAAAAGTCAAATATACAACCTGGCTCTCCAACTCGGTATTGGTTAAAAATCCCAGTGGGGCGTGGAGGATGTGCGTCGATTATACTGACCTAAACAAGGTATGCCCCAAGGATGCTTATCCCTTTCCAAGCATTGATCAGCTGGTGGATAATGCATCCGGGTTCAAGATACTCTCATTCATGGATGCCTACTCTAGTTACAATCAAATTCCATTACTAGAAGAAGATCAAATCAAGATGGCGTTCATCACCCAGAACGCCAATTACTGTTATACTATGATGCCCTTTGGCCTGAAGAATGCAGGCGCCACGTACCAGCGAATGATGAATGAAGTGTTCAAGGACTTGATCGGCGGCAGCGTGGAAGTCTACATTGATGATATGATCGCCAAATCGCAAACACCGGAACAACACTTGACGCATCTTCAGGGCGTGTTCGATAGGCTGCGAAAGTACAACATGCGACTCAACCCGAGTAAGTGCGCTTTTGGCGTTCCGGCGGGAAAATTTCTAGGCTTCATGCTAATCGAGAGAGGCATCTAGGGGTGGCAATTTATGACACGACTCGTCAACCCGACCCGGACCCGACACAAAAATTTCGTGTTCGGGTATTTTCGTGTCGGGTCAACCCGTTTAATAAATGGGTCGTGTTCGGGTTGAAGAAAAACAACACAAAAAAATTCGTGTCGGGTTGCAGGTCAACCCGTGAACCTGCTGACCCGCAAATTTCTAAGGTTATTGTGGTCATTTTATCTCATGGTATAAAAAATAAATGTTAGGGTTTGAAGTGTTCTGTTTTTTCACTCTCTGCGGCGCTCTCACTTCACCAGTTCACCCTCCTAAGAGTCTCGGCTACTGATCTCTGTCTCTGTTGCCCATCTCTGTCTGCAAACCTTCTTCCACGGTTCAACCTCAACCAAACAGGTACGAATAAATCTGCCCATCTTTGTTTTCTCTTCCAACGAAACCCACAGTGTATATATATAACCAAAGCCCCTGCATTTAGAATGACTTTTTTTTATTGAGTTTAGGTCCCACTGAAGTGAATGGTTGAAGTGAATGCTCTGTGAAAATGATATTGTGAATTGTTTAATTCACAACCTAAGTGTGAGTCCTACTACTTACTTCGTCTTTCCCATATATGCAGACAAAGGATTTTGCATTAATACAAACAATGAAGATATCAAAGTTGATTAAAAAAAACGCAAAATAATTAAAGAAGACAAATTGCATAACCTTTCCAAATGTGGACGGATTTCTGATTGATAGCTGAACCAGTTATAGTCTGCATCATTTTTATTATGTATGTCACTGCTAATTCATTTTTTTTTGTAGAGCATTCAGCAGTAGCTCAAATTCGGGTTGTTCCGTGTCAACCCGTTTAACAACAGGTCGTGTTCAGGTTGAGTTTTATAACACGGATTGTTAATCGTGTCGTGTTCGGGTTGAACCTATTCGTGTTCGTGTCAGACCCAGGTCGACCTGAACCCGACCCATGAGGCATCGAGGTCAATCCTGATAAGTGCAAAGCGGTCATCGAAATGCGAAGCCCGCAAACAGTCAAGGAGGTTCAGCAGCTGACTGGAAGACTGGTAGCCCTTACACGTTTCTTGGCGAATTCCGCACATAAATCACTCCCCATGTTTGGGTTGCTCAAAAAAGGTACATCTTTTGCATGGTCCGATGAGTGTGGAAGGCCAAAAGTCGGTTTACTTCATCAGATAAGTGCTGCAAGGGGCTGAGCTGCGGTATCAGCAAGTTGAAAAAGTCGCCCTCACACTCATTTTTGCGGCGCGAAGGCTGAGGCCGTATTTCCAGTGCCACCCCATCATTGTCAGAACCAACCAACCCATCCGCCAAGTCTTGCACAAGCCAGACCTCGCAGGACGAATGATGTCTTGGGCGATTGAGCTCTCAGAATACCAGATCAGTTATGAGCCAAGAACCACCATCAAAGCTCAAGCCGTCACAAATTTCATTGCTGAGATGACACAAAGTCCTCCGCCCAGTGCCCAGACCGCCGAGACGCTGATGTCGGCGATATGGAAACTATATGTTGATGGCTCATCAAACGCCAAAGGTTCAGGTGCAGGAATGATAGTTGAAAATCCAGACGGTGTTGCTGTCGAACATTCACTGTCTTTCGAATTCAATACCACGAACAACCAGGCGGAATATGAGGCCATGATTGCGGGCCTAATTCAAGCAAAGGAGATGGGCGCCAGACGTTTCAAAGTCTTCAGTGACTCCCAATTAGTAACATTTCAGATCTCCGGTGAATACCAAACCAAAGGACCGTTAATGTGCAGGTACTTAGAGAAGGTCAAAGAGTTAATCCAAAGCTTCGAAAGTGTCGAGGTGGAGCATATCAGACGTGCTGAAAACACCAGGGCAGATATCCTCGCCAAGTTGGCGAGCACCAAAAGCCCAGGTAACAATCGTTCTATAATCCAACACAATATGCCTAACCCATGCATAGTCATGAGCATTTCAGAGTCAAACCCTGAAGTCGCCGAAGAAACCTGGATCACGCCCATTGTCAACTACTTAGCTCAAGGTGTCCTACCTCCCGACCAAAAGGAAGCTAGAAAGATTGTACGAAGAAGTGCTCATTTCTACATGTACACGGGCGATTGTACAAACGAGGACTCTCAACCCCACTCCTGAAATGTCTGAACCCTGGCGATGTTCAGTACGTTTTAGAGGAAATCCATGAAGGGATCAACGGCCACCACGTGGGCAGTCACTCGCTAGCAAAAAAGGCACTAAGAGCTGGATTTTATTGGCAAACCATGGAGCGTGACGCCCATGAGCATGTCAAAAAATGTGAAAAATGCCAGAGGTTTTCCGACATACACAAAGCTCCACCTGAAGAAATGACGTCAATCACCTCGCCTTGGCCTTTCTACAAGTGGGGAATCGACATTCTGGGTGCCTTTCCCATGGCGGCTGGCCGGGTCCAATGGTTAATTGTCACCATTGACTACTTTACCAAATGGGTAGAGGCAGAACCCTTGGCCACAATTACATCTCAGAGAGCAAGGAAGTTCTTTTGGAGAAGCATCGTCTACCGCTTTGGTATCCCGACGGAAGTCATTACAGATAATGGTACCCAATTTACCGACGCCAAATTTTGGGAGTTAATGAGCAGTCTGCAGATCCGACATCACTTTGCCGCAGTTGAACACCCCCAGTCCAACGGCTTAGTGGAGTCGGCCAACAAAATTCTGGCCAAAGGAATTAAGAAGAAGCTTGAAGCACACAAGGGGGCGTGGGTAGACAACCTCGACAACGTGCTATGGGGATACAGGACAACCGCCCAATCTTCCACTAGGGAGACGCCTTTCAGACTGACTTACGACACTGAAGCCATGATTCCCGTTGAAATCGGGGAACCCTCCTGGCGACGGGAACACGTTACCGAGGTCGCCAACACTCAAAATCTGAA